AAGCGCTCGGAAATTATCATCGCTGTTTGGTGAGACGTTTGGAACAAGATGTCTGAAACAAGCGAGGAGGGAAATCAAAACCAGCGCTTAATGGACAAACCCCAGCGCCAAAAGGTGTTTCTTTCCCCATCCCCTCCACACAAGGCAGATTTTGGCCTGATGGCCAAGAAGAGGCTGCAGAAATGCAAGGTTTAGCTCCTTCTAAGCCAAGCACTCCACAAGCACGGTGACATCTGCCACGTGAAATGCAAGGACGTGCTGGGAAACATTTGAGCTTCCATCTTACAGAAAACCTGCAGACTAACAAGGAACACAATGAGGAATTTGTGTCGCTCCTTCCAGCCCGTGGAACGAACAAAATCAAAAATAACCAAGACCAAACCAGCAGGCAGCCTTGACTTCAGAGTTTTTTTAAGGGACAAGAACTGCGCCTTTGCTGACTGGTTTGTTTAAAACAAGAGAAAATATTGCTCTGTAAATGTCTGGGCTTTCTTTGGTGCCTGGGCTGCCTGGCCCCAGCTGAGCCCTGCCCAGAACTCTCTCATTGCACACACAAGTCCTTTAACCAGGCTGCCTCTGTCTCTGCTGAGCTCCCAATTCCACACAGCCAGGCATTTCCTCCAGCACCTGCTGGGACCGAGCCACAGGAACGACAGAATCTCCTGCTTTTGTTGGAAGATTATTTCAGGAAACAATTTCATAGAAGTTACTCCATCTACCTGACATTAAATTCCCTGATAGGTTTTGGAGGAGCAGGAGCTTGTATTTCTGTTTGTAACTGACAATTCACCTCCATTCTTTGGGGGACAGAAGTCAGCTCTGACCACTGGGGGCTGTGGAAGCACAGCGGCTGTGACAGCGAGGTGAGCTTTATTCCTGATTCATTTGCCAAAAGGCGAAAGTTACCCCCAACACACAGAGCCTCGCTTGGAAAGAGAATTACCCACAGGGAGGCTCACCGCAGGTTTGCCTGGAGCTGCCTCCACACAAACAACAACCAAACCCTTCCTGTTTCAAGCTGCTCTGCGGGACCCGTTTGACATTGCTAAGCACGATGAATTAATTACGATTGTCTCTGTGCCCAGGGGTGGCCAGAGATGGCTGTGGAGCAGGTCAGGCAGCCCAGCCCAAGGCAGCCCTTGCCTTGCCTTGCCTTGCCTTGCCTTGCT